AAACCACAAACTTGTCAATTTAGCCTAATATATATATATATATATATATATATATAAAAGTATTTTCAAGTAATTGCTTAAAAACAGGGAGATATTTGAAAGACTGGTTTAACCCTTTTGCAGCACTTGAGTCCACTTGAAATGATATGAGAGAGGAGAGTTAAATATGAAGATAAATGCATAAATGGCCAGAGTTGCTATGGAAATGTAAGAGGATGGAAATTGAAAGTCAATAGAGGACTAACTTACTGTTCAATTTTAAAAATAGTCTTTCTATACAGAAATGGAACATTTTTCAAATCTCTGTTGGCCTGTATTATACAAAATGGGAAGTGGTTTTGTGGCTGGTATCTCTATTTAATGCTGCATCCTCCATGTGCAGACTCTATGGTCCGTGGTACATTCTAAATGGGACCTTTTCCTCAGGTTAGTGCCAATCTCCATCACAGCTCCAGAGCCTTGGTGATAAATGTCAGCATGAAAAGCACAGGTATGTGGGTCAAACTCTGCGGGATGTAATGACAAGTAATTTGTACGGAGTTCAGGTCAGTTCTGTTTATTTTTTGACATAATTTTCCATGGAAACAAGGCTTACCAGATCGGGCTTCCTGCCCCACAGGCACTGCACAATAGCTTTCTAAACCTGCTGGCCTGCAATCAGGGTGGAAGAAGAGACATCTCAGAGGAATTAAGTCCTAACAAGCTTTATAAGGGAAGATATATTCAAATGAGCACTTCTTCCCATTGCCCTTCCACTTTCCATCCCATTCCCAGGGTGTGATATGAGCTCAGCCATTCTATCAGACACCAGAGAACCACATGGGAGGTGACTGTAGAAAACCAGGCTTCCTCTGTTCCACTGCTTGCAAAGCCACTTGTTTTATTAAGATAAATGTAATACACTTCTCTGGTTCCATTCAGAGAGGGAGAGCAAATTATGTTTGAACAGCATCAAACCCCAGCCATGAGCAGCATATCAAGAGGAAAGTGGGGCTTTGCTTCAACACTTAACACTCCATCTCCATCCCCAGACACTTCTGGGGCTTCTTGGTACATTTATTCACCTACAAAATGTAGCTGAATGAACCATTTTGGCACTGGCAGCCCAGAATTCACTGCTCATGGTGTCCCACACCCCAGGGACGTGGATCTTTCAGCCCATTGGTCTGCTCTGCCTGTTTGCTTTCCCCAGCTCTTACTCTGGGGTGTCCAGAAGCTGCAGATAACCCCCTGACTCACAGCCCTGGGTGGGAGGAGAGCAGAGCAGCACTGGGACACACTCCTGCCCACGCTTCCCATGACATGGACCCCTGTGCCCCTCTGTTCAAAGCACATGAGTCTCTCACAGCAAGTTTCCGACAGCTGGAGGCATCTCCAGGTACAGCAAACTTTAAAAAAAAAAAAAAAATCAGACATAGAAGATGCTGAAATTCAGCCTTCCAAGGCGAGGAGCTGGCACCAGCTTCAGCCTTGGCAAAACAACTCCGCCACCTCCTTTCTTTCCAAGCCACGTTCCCCAAGTCTAGCTCCATCCTCTTCTGCAAGGGCGTTTGAAAGAATTCCACGGCACCAGCAGGATTCTCACCAGCCCCGTCTCCCAGCCCGTCAGAAAAAGGCCTTTAAAAATAGTTCCGTGCTGCTGGGTGGGATTTTCTTCTGCAGGTGCTGTGCAAGAGAGAGTGAGATGAGATTCTAATCATAGCTCCTTGGCAGAGGGAAGGGTTCAGAGTTGAGCCGTGCGGCGGCTGCCTCATTTTCACAGCAATATCGCTGCATTCTCCGGGTGTCAGGGGGACACATATTGCTGTCACTTCCCCTGTGCCGTGTTTGGATACGGGATGCAAAGAGCAGGCACGAAGCACAGAGCCATCACCACCCCATCACACCAAGCCAGGGGAGAGCAGGCTGTTCGGTGCCTGGCGTGTCTGCTCTGAGCTCCCAGACAGCTCATCCCGTGGGGGAGAGGGTCCCTGACACGGTGGGTGCTCTCCCCTCCACCTAAAGGAGTGGGGAGAGAGGGCTTCCCATTCAGAAAGGGCCTGGGCAGAGAAATAGGAGCTCAAGGTTGTATTTCCTCACCACACACAACTCACCACATGTCGTGTGGTCACTGGTGTGGCTCTGTGCCCACCACAGCCCCGTCCTGGCTTCTGAAAAATTCCCCATGCCATAAGACAAATGGTTTCCCCTCAGAATTAGTTAAACCCACCAAATTTCTCTTGCAGCACGTTGCCACCACCCTGCTCAAGGTGCACCACCCAGAGCTTATTTTCTCTGCCTGGGTCTCTCAGCAGACCCTCCTGCTGAACGGGCTGGGCACCTTCTGCCAGGTCCCTTCACAACGAGCTGAGCTGTCAGTCCCTGGGAGGAGAAGGTCCCTGCCAGAGCCTCAGCATCTGGATCTCTCCAAAGGAGCAGATTGGAGTGCTCCACACGTGGGGGGATTTCTGACAAGGTCTCCCAGCACAGTCCAGCAAACACGGCTACCATCTGCTAAAGTTCAGGCGACTGAAATGCAGGTGGGAATTGCATCACCACCACACAGCACAGACAATAACACCTCCTCGTTTTATTTTCCTCTTTATCTGGCACCATCTCTACAGGACTAAACCCACTGCCTTCTGCCAGCTCACATGATTAGGGCTGCAGTAACTCTGTGTTGGTGCTGCCTTCCCGGTTTCTCCATGGATGTTTGAGTCCAGCCATTTATAACGATCTGGGGCCACACAATGCATCACCAGTTTATTCAGAGCTAAAGAGTGTCTTCTAAATGGAGGTCTGAGCCAAAACATCACTCCAAGGATTCTCACTGCCATGAGCAAATCCTGGGACAGCTTGAGAAGGGATGCACTTTGGCCCAGCATTCTTCTCCTCTGGTTGTTTTGCTCTGCTGTTCCTTCCTTTTCAATATATAGTTCCTTGATTTGATAGTATTTGTTATTATTAAATTGATTCAATTTGATGAAAAATAAGCTCTGGATTTGATAATTATGTTTAAATTTTAGCCCTTTTGCTGCAATAATACGGTAACAAGTCTCTATATTTTGTTTTAAGGACATGGGACCAACTAGAATCAGCCTGGCATGGTTTAGGAGCTTTTTGGGATGCCTGGACCATTCCAAGCCAGCCCTGAGCTGGATAGCTGGGTACCCAACCTGGAGCATCAATCCAGCCTGCACCTGCCCCGGGCTCCTGTCAAACCCACCAGGCTCAAAACCTGCAGGATCTATGGAAAAATCTGATAAAATCACTGTGAGAGAAGTGACATCCATCAGCTGGACTCTGGATCAGCCACCTCACCCTCGAGGGGGAGCTTTCCAAAACAGAGATCATAACTGCTACACAACGATACCCTCATGTCACCCACGCCATCCCCACAGCCAGAAAACCACCCATGACACAAAGTCACCTCAGTGAGACCACAGTGCTGGGGCACACCCTCCAGTGAACCTTTCCACCTACACAGCTGTTTCATGGAATGCCTGGCAGGGCTGGCAAACCCTGTCTCAGAGCTGCACTGTGGTTACCGGAGGCAAAGCCATTAAGCCCCCTTTGCAGGCAAAGCCATTAAGCCCCGCTTTGCAGCACCATACCGTATTCACTTCATGCCTTTAATGCTGACAGCCCAAGTAAATTCCTCCTGAAAAGAAAAGAAAGCCCCTTGTTCCCCCTCCCCGAGCTGCTGCTTCTTGTTAAATGTCATTAAAAGCAGAGCCCACAGTAACATCAGTCCTTGCTGAAGGTTGAAACTACCTTGACTGTAATCCTGGTGTGGAACTGGATGGGGGGGAAAAAAAAAAAAAGGCAAAAAACCAGATACTTCTTCCACTTCTCTGTCAGCTCCACTTTGCATCAAAATCTCCTTTGTATGTCACACAGCTATTAAAGTTGTGGATTGTGGCTCGGGGTGTGTGTGTGCAGGAGCCTGAATGTGTCTGTGCCTGTGTCTCAGAAACTGGGTCACCCAGAGAGCGCTCCGTGAAAACTCTGCCCTGACAAATCCAGGCTGGCAAGACTCAGAGATACCCCTTATAATGTTTCTCTGCCTCCCACCATGCTTTGAAAGGAGCAAATAATACTACTTTCTCCTGTATTTGTGGTGTGGTTTTTTTTTTTTTTTTATTGAGCAGCTTCCTGAGGTAAATAACCTCCAGCAGGCAAATCCGAGGGGATGCTCCTATCTCAGGGTTGTCTGCTCACACCGAAATCATGATATACTTTGCTTTCATGATGCTCTTTATAAAGCATGCCCTTTTTTTCCAAGAGAAATGGCTATCAAGGAGGGCAAGAAACTCCCCACACTTGGCTCAGGCTCCTGTCCCAACCTCTTGTCATCTCCTCTCCCTGTCACAGCCCTGGGGATACCAGGGGGGCACCTCCAGACCCGTCAGCACCTCCCCATCAACAGGGGACCCCTGTGAGCATCTCCCCAGTCAGAATAGAGGGTTGTTTCCCATCCAGGGTACTTTTTAGCAGGCAAATATCATTTTATTTCCATCAAGGCTGTAAAAAAACAGTTCAGACAGCTCATGTCTGAGGCTGAGGGGTGAATCCTGTCCCTCATCTGCCCTCAGTGGGGCAGAGGTGGGGGAACCAGCAGAGTGGAGCTTCCCAGCTCAGCACTGACAAAGATCTGGGCCTCTGGAGGGGGCACAAGATGAGGAACCAAAACTTGCTGACTGTGCAGGACAGAAAGATGTGGGCCACAGTCTCAGGAGGAGCTGAGAGGGGAAAACCTGTATGGTTTTTTTTTTATTAACAGCTTATTTTAATACTTACAGCATCAGAGGAGGGATGGCAGAAAGAAATACTTCAGCAGGGAGGGCTTTACTACTAAGGAGAATTGCAAAGAGGGTCCTCAGGACTAAATACCGAGGGTGTTGTTTGTTTTCTTTGTGTTTTGTTTTTTGCGGGTTTTTTTTATTTGTTTTGTTTGTGGTGATTTGTTTGGTTTTGGTTTTTTTGTTTGTTTTTTGTTGTTGGTTGGTTGGTTGGTTGGTTGGTTGGCTTGGTTTGGTTTGGTTTGGTTTGGTTTGATTATTTTTGTGCTGTTGTCACTGCACTTACTTCCCTTAAAGAAAGTGAAACTTGTGTGACCACAAGCAGGACCAGTGACAGAAAAGGGTTTGGGAGAATCTGACTTCAGACAGACATTTACTGGCCCCGGGGTAGAGCTGTAGAGGAGGATTTCAAAATTCCCGAGATGGGGGAAATGGAGTTGAGGAACAGAAAGCACCGTTTTCATGGGCTCTGATCTAGATTTCATCTGTTTCAGTGTTTCATTCCAGCAAACCACAGCGTGCAGGTTGTGAATCCCAATTTACCAACAGAGAAAACGAGGCAGGGCAGAGATAACAGGCAGCATTTGTTGTCTAAGGGGGCTCGGCAGCATCCAAACCAGACAGCGGTGGTAGAGTGCCCTTCCCAACAGACTACACTGCTTGGAAAAGAAAACAGAGGGATTCCAGCTCTGGAGCAGGAGTGGGGCCACAGGCTCACGCCAGATCCGTCGCTGAGACAAGGAAAGGAGAGCAACTTCCAGGAACTGCCTTGTGAATCCCACAGCGAGTATCCTGAGCGGCTGCTCCGCGCAGGTTTGGGTTTGGTCTGGGTTACCGAGGGGTAGAAGCGCTGATCCAGGCGGCTGTGGTGGATGAGCGGGTGTGTTGAACTGGATCACCGGGCTGTAGGGAGGGAAGACACAGGGTATCAGTCTCCTCCAGCCTGCTCCGTGTCCTCTGGCTAATGTATTCAGCGGTGAGTTTAGGGGATCTCAGGAGAATGAATTGTCAGAGCGTCGGAAGCAAGAGATGGCAGGGGAATTACCGCTAATCCTTTTTTGTGGGACACAACACTCCAAAGGATTTAAAGGCTATTCAAAAATGTAGGGTGGGGGAAGGAAGTAACAAGGACACCCCTCCCTTCTTACATACATTTTGGGTTGGTCACTTGCTGCTGGCTGGGAGCTGAAAGAGAGAAAAGAGAAACTTCGAGGAGAGGAAAAGGCTGAGAGAGGGAGAAGGAAAGATAAAGGCTGGAGATTAGATCTGGAGAAAAGCCGATCTTACCCTCTCAGGGAGTGTAGGCTGCAATTAAATCTCTTTTGCCTAACAATACCCTATTGTTATTTGCATAGTACTCGAGATGTGGCGATAAGGGAAGGAGGAGCTGCAGGAAGGGGAGGCTTCAGTTGTTCTCCTTGGAAATCCTCTGGCTGGAAGGTTGTGGGCCTCAGCCCTATGGGGTGATCCTTTGGCTCACCTAATGATCTCCCCACCACCAGTAACAAACGTATTTTGAACAGCTCTGGTGGGCGGATTTTGGAAGTGTAGGGGCTGAATCTCCCTGCTACACATCTGATTGGTAGAGAAGGTCAACACTTTTGTCGCCCTTCCAACCCTCAGTGCTCCTCTTCCCGCACCTCCTCAGCTGCAGTTTGGCAGAGGATGCCATAGAAGGTGTATCCCAGGCTGCTGCAGGGTGCCTAAAGCCTTTTTCTTGCTTTTCAAGGCTTTTAACAGACCTGCCCTTAATTATGTAATGTTCCTCTCTGTGCTCAGAGCAGCACAGGGAGGTCCAAACTGGTGGATTATTGACTTTGCCCTCTATGTGACCTTGAGGCTGAGGAAGGTGAGTGCTACTGGCAGATGGGCTCTTCTCTGCAAATCATGCTTTGCTGTCATTTGTCCCAATTCTCAGCCCGGGCTGAGATGGCAAAGAGCAACTTATTAAGGAATTGCTTCTTTCCTCCCGTGTTCAGCTGCTCTCAGGCTCAGGCAGTTTCGTATCGATCGACTGCACCTACTCAAGATGTTTTGCAAAAGGCACTTAGTGAAATTCATTCCAGGGATTTGCCAGTGTTTTTTACTGCCTGAGCTGCACGTGGGATACAGGCAGGTGAAGGTTTGACATTGAGAGGGTCAGGGTAAGAGCTGACATGGAAGAGGAATTTCCATTTTCTCCTGGATGGCCAAACAGTGCAGCAATTCTTTGAATCTTGTATGGGGCTGATTTTAATACCACATTCACAGAATCACAGAATATTCTGAGTTGGAAGGGACCCACAAGGATCATCAAGTCCAACTCTTCAGTGACTGACCCATAAAGGGATCAAACCCACAACTTTGGTGGTATTAACACCCCCTAAACTTTGTCAAAAGTTCTGCTTTTCTGCATGGTACAAAAATGAAAAATTGTGAGTTTTCCCACAAAATAAAATGTGTGGGTTTTAATTTGGGTGTGTGGAAAACATTTTTACATTTCACTGTTGCTTTGGGAGACTTGTCAGATTATATAAATAGAAGCAAATTTCAAAATGAAAACGTACTCTGGGAAACAACAGCATAACAACGATGCTTTTTGAAATGATGTTGTGGAGCAATTTAACTTTTATTTGAAATCCTTTTTTCCAGCCCATCCAAAACATTTTTTAAAAATCACTGTTTCCATGCACAGTACCTGTTCCAAGACTACAGCCCTGTGCAACACTAAACCAGAGAGCCTGCTACGACAATTCCCATTCCATAGATTCACTATGCTACCTCATTAAATTCCATAAACCACCCACAAAATAGCATTTCCCAAAGGACAAACACTCTTCCAGAGAAATTTCAACCTGTTCCTGTCAAGTATCATTTGGTCCAGAGAAACCAGCTGCTTTTCCTCGTTTTGTTGATTTTTTAACTGACACTGGAAGTCTGTGCTAACATTCAGGGAGGCCAAGGGAGCATTCCCGCAGCGCTGCTCCTGCAGCCAGCCAGATCCAGGCTGGGAAGGACTGCACATGGCTCTGGCTTTCAGCTTTTGCAGAATGTCTCTGCTACTCAGTGTGGAGACCACAAATGCAATCACACTAATGAGGGCTTGCTCTGTGCAGAGCCCTCACTGCAAACCGTGACGTGGTGGCAGTGCCAGCACATCACGAGGTCCTGCCCTTGGGACATCACCCTCTGCAGGGCAGGGAAGACCAGAGCTTCATCTGTACTGGCACACTGCATGGGTCAAATGAAGCACATAGTGAAATCAGGGCACATCCCCATTACAAATGAAATAACTTGGATGCAACAGCCCTTTGGAGCTTTGTCTCCATCTGTTTTTATGACCTGGGTAAAATGGATGCTTTAATAACTGGAATATGTTGGGCTATTTACATGAGAGATGAACGCAGACCTGCACGGGTGTTGGGTTGGCTCATTTATTCACCCAAATGAATAAATCATATCAAAGGCATCTGCTGCAGAGTGAACACTTTAAACCAGCAGTGCACACCAGCAGGTTTGGAGACATGAGAACACTGGGTTTGCCTTTGGAAATTCGCTTCCTACCACAAAGGTCACAGAGCCACAGATTAGCTCAGTTGGTTGGAGCATGGTGCTAATAACACCAAGGTCATGGGTTTGTGTCCCCAGATGGGCCATTTACTTATGACTTGGACTCAATAATCCTTGTGTGTCCCTCCACCTCACAACATTGTTTGTGAAAATTGAGTTTTCCTTTGGAAATTTGCTTCCTACAATGAAGCTAAATGTGTATGTGTGTTTCTGTGTGAACCACAGTATTTCCTCCATTCACTGAAGTGGGGAAAGCTGTTCTGAGTCTTCCAAAAAGAAATCTACTGTTCCTCTGCTGGGTAAATGTTGAAAATATAATGGTTCACACAGCTTTTTCCTTCCTAGGCTCATAAACCTCAATGTACAGCAGGCAGGCACTGCCTGGGCAGGTCACAGAATCACAGCATCACAGAATGGGTCAGGTTGGAAGGGACTACAGGGGGTCATTTGGTCCAACCTCCCTGTTCAAGGAGGGTCATCCTAGAGCACACTGCACAGGATTGTGTCCAAATGGTTCTGGAATATCTCCAGTGATGGAGACTCCACACCCTTTCTGGGCAAAGTCAGAAAATCTCTGGTTGGTGACCACGGGGGAAGGCTGGAGCCTTCACTCAGCAGAGCCCACAGCTCTCCTGGCACCCAGGTCCCACCAAGGGTGTGCCTGTCACCAGCCAGCCCCTCCTCCTGAGCCTCCTTGTGCCATGCAGCAAAAGGAAGGTAGTCCTGGTTCTGCTGTGGAAGGTCTCAGCAATAAAAGATGTCAGTTTGTGCGTTCAAAGTGCCAGGTCCTGCACATGGGTCACAACCACCCCCTGCAGCGCTCCAGGCTGGGGGAAGAGCGGCTGGAAAACTTGCCCAAAGGGAAAGGACCTGAGGGTGATGGTTGATAGTGGCTGAACACGAGCCAGTGTGTGTGCCTAGGTGGGCAAGAAGGCAAATGGCACCCAGTTTGTATGAAAAATAGTGTGGCCAGAAGGACCAGGGCAATGATTGTCACTCTGCACTGAGCACTGGTGAGGTCACACCTCGAGTTCTGTGTCCAGTTCTGGGCCCCTCACTGCAAGAAAGACATTGAGGGGCTGGAGCGTGGTCAGAGAAGGGAATGGAGCTGGGGAAGGATCTAGAGAGCCAGTCACAAAAGGAGTATGAGGAGTAAATCATATGCATTTGTGCTTTTTCGTGGGCAATAAGGAAGCCTGGGGCAATTCACGTGTCCAGTTCTGCTGTAGAGACTCTGAGTAGGAAGAGAAAAACAAGTGACCAGTTCCTTTTCAAAGTGTACATGTGGGAGCCTCATCTCAGGGTCACTCCAGCTCTCCCAAAGTTGCTTTGATATTCAAACAAACACTCCACTCACTTTTTAAACAATACTGTCCTAAATCCTTATTATAACGCCCAGAACCACTCGCAGGCTTTCTGAAACTCATTATTACAATTACAATCAAGAATCACAGGACTCTGTGCTTTGTGCCAGAAATACATATACACTGAGTTGTTTGTAGAGGAGCCACAGAGGGAAAGAGTGAAGGAGAAATGCAGTTTCAGTGCTGCTCAATTCAGGAGCAGGAACTCCCACCCTATTTAATTTTCCCTCTTTTGTTTCCCAGTTTAACTTGTAGCTGCTAAAATCCAGGCTAATATTTGCTTTATCCTCTGTGCTCTCCTTTGGATTCAATCCAGGAAACCTCGAGCTGTGCCCTGGTTTACTGTCCCCCACCAGCTCCAGCAGCCTCTGCCCCTGGAGGAGGTGGAATGAGGAGGAGGAAGGGTGAGGAGGAATGCCTGGAGGACCCACCAATCACAGGTCAGGAGCACCACACTTTGGGAACTGCTGGAACAGTATTTAGCAGATGCAAACCAAACTTTCTGGGCAAGGGAGCACAGAACTGAGCTCAATTTTATTAAAGCTGCATCTAGTGGGGCACAAAAAAAGTTTAGGGAGGGTTGTGGGGTTTTTTGGGTAGTGTTATCTGACACAGCACACAGAGAGGGAGCTGTGGTTCTGCTTTTGCCACCACAAGGCCTGGAACCAGCTCTCCCTCTCTTTCAAATAGTGTCTGATGCTGATCCCTGATCACTGGCTTCCACGGAGATGCTGCTGACTGGTGCTTAGAAAAGTGAGCTGGATCAGGCTTTCCTTCTGAATAAATATCAGATCTGATTCACCACTCAATTGCTTCTGTTTTACCTCTGCAGAACATCATTGATTATAGAAGGATTTGCAAGTTTAAAACTAGAGTAATTTAGTGATTAATCCCAACCAAAGCCTTCGGTAAACAGAGAGCAATACTCCCGCACTATCCAATATCCGACACATGGGTGGAATGTTCTGTAATATGATTTGGTGGCATTTAGACTTTCCTTCTCTTTATTCAGGACAGTGCTGGGATACATTTAGTTTAGCTAACCCAGACTTTTCTCCTCTATCTCTTCTCCCTGCAAAATGCCAGGCACGTTCTCAGTGAAACAAAAGCACAGCTCCCCCATCCAGTGGCTGTTCTGTTCCAGGTAGCAGCCGAATCCTGGGAAAGGCTGAGCACACGTGCTGGTCTGAAGTCCATTTCAAATCATGGAGGCTCCTACAGCCCCTTCCAACAGTGAATTAAGGCTGGTCCAAAGAGTGGAAAAGCTTATTCTAGAACTGGCTGTCTCTAAACATCAAAACCACTTTGCTCAGGCTCAATCTCGTTCACAGAGGGCAGTCCCACACAGTCTATCCAGAAACCCTGGAGGAGGTGAAGCAGTTAAAGCAAAGAAATATTTGACTTAAAAAGGTGTTAAACATTTCTATGGCTTCTTCTGGTCCCACTGATTTTTGGATCCCACAGGAAGCCCTCAAACCACTCTCAAATGTTATACAATCTGGACATAATTAACAGTTTCAGGTGATAGTTTCAATATTTGGTCTCGGTCTAAAACAAACTAAAAGAAACATGTTGGGGAAATTTCCCTCAATGGAAACCTCCCTCCTCCCTGATGACATAACTGTTCAGCTCCACTGAGTAGCTGCCAGGTGGTCTGTGCTGTAGGACACCCCACTGCTCTCTGGAGGGTTTTCCCCCTGACTCACAGTGCATAACGTGGCAGACACAAGACTTTCTGAATTCAAACCTTTTTTCTGTTTCCCACCATTTTTAGAGCCAAGAATCCTGTATCTTTACTCTACCCTGGAGATCCTGGGGTCTCAGGACCCAAATCCAGTTTCAGAGGCAGACAAAGGACAGTAAGAGCAGTCGGTCTGTTCACCGATCCACCACACCTGGGTGTACTGCTGGACCAGCTTTGGTTGACAGCCACAGACAAACATGGAGCTCAGGCAGGTTCAGCTCTTCTGGCTCTTGTCACTCCTTAGCTGGCAAGTTCCCTCGGGAGAGGGTGGCCAGCAAGGCAGGTATTTCTGCAGTGCTTTTGCAGTGCCTCCATCCACTCCCTCTGACTCTGAGCAGCTACAGAAGAACCAACTTCTGAGCACCATCCATCAGCCAAGGCCAGGACAGGAGACAGGAGAGGAGGGATCTCTCTTTCTCTTCACATGAGCTTTGCCCCCTCATTATTCCAATCTTTGCCTTCTAGCAGGACTCCTGTCAGCTGCCTCCAGAAGATGTGCTTGCTCATTTCCTTGTTTTTCCACTCCAGGTAGGTGTTCCTCCTCAGGTATCGGGACAGCCCCAGCCTCTGCCTCAGCAAGGCCTTGTTCACCTCTTCAAGTACAATCATGATGATTCCAGCCTTTCCCTCAACAAGCTGCCAGGACTGGGCAACGTCAAACTCAAAGCTGCACCACTTACTTTCCAGGAAGTTGGTAGAGATGACTGCGATGACATTTCTGCTGCTGAGAAAACCTTCTTCGATGATATTGGTCACAATGGGCACCCCTGGGAGGAAATCCCTGCAGGACAGACACAGGTGGAAGGGAGGTGTTCCTCCTTCTAAGGGTTCCACCAGCTCTTTTATCACCCATTCCTGGTCCTTGCTGGAGTGGATAACAAAGGCATCGTAGGTGTTACCCCTTTCTGCAGAGTGTTTGCACCCACTGAGCAGCACCAGTGAGTAGTAGAGCTGGAAGTAGTACCTGTAAATCAGGCAGGCGAGCACCATTGTAGCAAGCAACATGATCACTGTGAAGACCACCTTACCTGCACTGAGGTGGCAGGAGGACAGGTCGAAGCTTGACAGGCTCACGTTCTTCACGGCCGCAGGCATGTGGCATATCATCAGCTCCTTGTTCTGCAGCAGCTCCTGCTTTTCCTGGACCCATGTCAGAAAGTTCAGGTGTGCACAAGAGCAGTCAAACAGGTTTTGAGAGATGTCTAACAGGACCAGGCTGTCAGGCAGGATTTCCAGGGCTGAGTCCAACAGAACAGTCAGCTGGTTGTTGCTGAAATCCAGGACTCTGAGGGCTTGGAGAGGCCGGTAGACTCCAGGATCTAAGGTCAGGAGCTTATTGTTGCTGATATTTAGCTCTTTTAGTTCAGAGAGGGCATCAAATGTACTTTGATTCACCTGTACTAACATGCAACTTGAAATATCCAAGGTGTGGAGGTGAGTTAGGTTTTTGAAGCTGTTGGCCAGCCTGTTGTTCTCGAAAGAGTTTCCTGACATCTTCAGCACTTGCAAAGAGTTCAAGCCACAAAACGTGCACTGAGATTTAACGTGAATTTTGGTGTGGGAAATGTCGAGGTAAATGAGTTTCTGAAGGAAGAGAAAGACAGGGTAGGAGCCAGGACCAAATAATTTTGTGTGCTGAAAGTCCAAATACAACAAATTCTTAATATTATTGAAATCCCCAGTCACTCTGATGTCAGCATTGAAGCTTAGGTTCAAGTGTTTCAAATTGGAACAATTGTGAAACAGACGGGAACAGCAGCCACTGAAGGTGAGGCGATTCTCACTCAAATCTATGACCTCCAGCTCACTTAGATCCCTAAATTTCTGCTCAAAGCTTATGAGGGATCTGCTCTTGGTAATACGAAGCACTCTCAGCTGCTTGAAATGCGACAGCTTCACGGCAGGCACTTCCTCAAACTGGCAGTTCTTGCACTCCAGCTGTTTCACTCGGGACGACACGGGAACCTCTGATATGTGTTCGAGTTCCAGGTTCACCAAGCGAATGGTGGAGACGTTGCCTGTGCAGTCAAAAAGGGTGTCTGTGTTACTCTCAAATTTCCTGAAACAGATTAGGACAAACTCTTGCATCTGGACCTGGCACAGTCCACTCAAGAGTCCTCTCTCAAAGTCTTCCAGTCTATGATTGTTTCTGAACTCTCCAACTGTCAGTCTTTTGACCTGTAAGCCAGCCAGGCCTTGAAGAGAAGTGTGCATCTCGTTGAAGTTCTCAAAAGAGGACCTCAGAACCAGCTCACCGAGGTGAATCTTTGCAAAGGACCCTGGCTCTATGGATTTTATCTTATTCAAGGAAAGCACCAGCGTGAGGTTGAGCCTGTTCCCTTCCCTCAGGGCATCAAGGTCTCCTTTGGAGATATATGTGATCTTGTTAGAGGAAAAGCTCAGGTGCCTGAGAGAGGTCAGGTTGGTGAAATACTTGGGAAGCTTCAATGAAGTAATGTTGTTGTGGCCCAAATTCAGCTCCTGCAGGGTATGCAAGTGTCCAATGGGCAGGTCAGTCACAGAGGTTATGTTGGTTTCCACCAGTACTAGTTTTTTCAGAGCTGCTAAGCCATAGAAGGCTGCTGTCCCCAGGTACTGGAGGGAATTGGCAGTTAAAATTAAGGTGGAAAGTCTGTGAAGGTCCTTAAAGGAGTTATCTTCTATTGTATGGAGGTGGCACCTGTTGGGCAGGAAAAGAGAATGAAAGTGTGTGAAACACTGTCCCTCTCATGTTCACTAATGCTGCAGCACTAAGTGCTGGTGTAAAATTTTCATCCTCGTGCTGGGAGCTGGTTTGGCTTTGATGTGCTGGGCAGAGCCAGCACTTCTGGATGTGCAAATGGAACCTTTCCACAGCAGGAGACCTCCTCTCTCTTCCTCCTCCCTCTCTAATCTGAAGTTCAGCTGCAAAGCAAGAGACCTTGAGCCATGGTGAAGGTCAAAAGTTCATGCAGGCATCAGGAAAGAAGAATTCTGACTTTCCTTTTAGGCCAAAGGGACACTGGACCATCACTGATGGCACAGCCAAGCAGATACAGCCTTCCCTTAGATCTTGCACACTCACAGCCTTCAGAACTGTCACCTCAGCCATATCTGGGCAGTCCCACTGGCACCAGAGAGATGCAGCTGTGGCAAAACTCACAGCTCTATTAGCACTTCTGCTCAGGGAAGAGGGGAAAAGGAGAGTGGCCACCTCTGGTTTCACGGGGAAAGATCCAGAATGTGAGACCCAAAGGCATTTTGCAAGGAATTCAGCAAAATTAGGTTATAATCCAACCAGTGTCTTACAGCAAACGTGCTCTGCCACTCAGCCACTTTGGAGCTGGAGCTGTGATGGAACTGAGTGACATTTTTCAGTGAAACAATTTACCCAGAGAAACTGTTGTCTCAAGTCAATGGAAATTATACATCAATTCAAATTTGCTAATAAGCCTCCTCCATCTCCTCCCCCAGATATGTGAGGAGAAGGGAAAAGAGAATATGTTGATATTTTAAAACAGCCTTTTAGAAAATGAATGTACCTTCATCTTGGGTTGGGGGTTTTTTTGGTGTTTTTTTTTTTTTTTTTTTAACTGTGATTAGAAAAACAACTCACCCAAGATGTTCCACTTCAGAGTTTTTGTAACAGTGAAAAGTATGACATTTTTCTTGTTCAGAGACAAGTAAAACATCTTCCTCCTCCTTCTCACATCTCAGCCTACAAGATCAGACTGACAGACCCAGCTCTGTGTGGAGGGTGTGCACTCAGTAACTGGACTAAAAGCTGCACATCACTATGGGGATGTGCAAAGTGACAGACACAGGGACAAAGTCACAAGCAAAAAAAAAATGAACAGCTAAGACAATTAGACCCCAACACAGGCCACCACAATAGCCCAGCTGGTGGAGCAAGATTAACCAGTATCCACATAAAAGAGCTCATTACCTTGAAAGATCCAGAAGTTGAAGTTCAGGGACTGAGGAAAAATAATTTGATCTCAGTGACTTCAGATTGCTGAAACTAAGATCTAAGTTCTGGGTGGTATTTGGGACTCCAGGAGGAACTCCAGAGATGTTCAGTCCAGTGCATCTGAAAGTTGTGTTAGGGATGACCTGTAACAGTGTTAGATCCAATCAGGGTCAACATCTGCTCTTCATGAAGTGCCAGAAAACTGCACTGTCAGGAAAGCAGGAGAAAAATGACCAACCTTGTAGTTAATTTCTAAACCCTGAGTTTTAGGAAATAATCTTATATATCCTAAGCATCTTTCCCATTTTTGATAGGACCAGTCCCGCTCCCCAGGAAAAGCTGCATTTCTTGCTGACTGAAGCAGGTGCAAAACTGCAGGACAGTGTTCCTTGAGGCTACAGATGAACCAGCAGCAACCTTGGAGACAACCAGCAAGACAAACATGTGCAGATCCATTGGATTTCCAGGCTCAGCTCTCAGTTCTGTTATCCTGCAGATAATCAGGCAGCTCAACCCAAAGTTGTTCTGTAAGTAATAACTGACAGTGAAACTTTGCAAAAGGCAGTCACTCAGTGTCTGGTACTTGGGGCTCTGGTGAAATCACCCTACTGCACAAATCAGGCAAAAATACTGTATTTTGCACAAGTCAGAGACAAGGTTTGTATCTTTTCCAAGAGAAACATAATCTATTACACTAACTGCACTGCAACACGCTCAGAGGTACAGAAAGCCAACAAGAAGAAAAGGTTAATGCTGCTGGTTCTGGTTTTCAGATGTTTTTAAGACCAGCATTTACTTCAAATACTTCAACTGCCTTGGTAACAACCGTGGAAAAAAAAAAAAAAGATGGGCTTTCATAAGACAACAGAGCAGACAGCAGGCTTGATGCACAAATCTCCCAAGCAGAGGGAAAAGTTGCACCAGAGAAACAGAAGGATTTTGTGCTCACTTGGAGCTCACGTACCTCCAAACAGGGACTGAGGAGGCAGCCTGCCAGCGGCGATGGGACAAGTGCCAGATGCAGCAGCACCAGGAGCATCCACAGGGGAAGGGTTCCTCTCCTGGGCATCTTCAGGAGGCCAGGAGTGCAGGAGAAAGCAGCATGGATATCATGCACAGACCTGGAGCGAGAAACCTGCTGTGGTGCCAAGCGCTGTGTTTCACCACTCCCGCTTCTCACTGCACGTTGCTGAGAGTAGCAGAGAACGAGAAGGGAAGTGAAACTGGTCTCTGCCTGGTTTCTAGATACACTCCAAGTTACTTGCTCTTCTTGAAATTGTTTTTTAAAAAAAATTAAAAGAAAATCAAGAAAAAAAGGAAGCAATGACACATAGTTCGGGCTAGAAATGAAAGAGGATGTGGGTTGCCTCACTGTCACTTGAGTTGGTTGCCTCTGTTTAGCTTGGGTCAAGTGGGCAAAAACAGGGAATATTTCATGAAATTCTGAGCACAGTTTCGGGAAGGCCATGCCCCACATCCCATAATTCAAATGCACTGGATAGAGGGAATGACTCTCTGCCTTTGTACCCCTGCCATGCTCGCAGCTTCACCACACTGGCAAGCAGTGAAGTGCACAGCTGTGGCACAGGTAAGCCAGGTAAGCACAGGTTTATCTCTGGCTGAGGTCTTCTGAACATGCACCCAGGTTTTATCCATCTGGTTTGATCTTTATTGCAGTTATTGCAGGAGCACTGCCAGGCACAAGGAGTAAATACTGCACAGTGGTCAGAGTTGTGGTCACACACATCACACCCCTCCTCACCTTTCCCATGGTAGGGTGGTTGCTAGGGGCAGCAGAAGGGAGAGGCACAAATCTTCCAACTGGGCTTAGAGCTGCTCCCTGGTCATGCCTTAATCTATGTTTGATGCCTGGCTACAAAAGCAAGTCCATCTCAGTATCATCCTGAATTTCCAGTGCAGACACAGCTATTGTTTCTGAAAAAAAAGCTTTGCAAAACCTCTCAGTTGGTAATATTAAGTCAGCTGTGAGCCTTCTAATGAAGCTCCCTGCCTTTGTTTACTCTGATAAATGGTGGTGCATTCATATATCTGCTCCTCTCTTCCTGCAGATAACTAAGAAATGTTACTGGGGATCCAGTCATAGGGTTGATGGGTATTATTAACACCACATAGAGAAGTGGCAAAAATGAAAGAGAAAGGTGAAATATTAGTCTAGAAGTAGGTGGAATAAAGAGTGACTACTCATGAAAGTCTGTGAAAATTAATATTAGATATAAGCTGTGATTTCAGTCCACTGAACAATCCACTCATAAAGAAAAGTTTAAAATATTTCGGGGGAGAAGAGGGCGTTGACTTTGTCAGGTCAGTGGTGAGCCAGAGAGAGATGGGGAAATCCTAAAATAACTGATGATCTCTGCGATGAAAAACACATGGCAGCACAATGGGAGCTAAAACCGACACCCTGATGTGCAGCTAGATAGTGCCCATTAAGCCAGCAGACAAAAAGTTTGTTGAAATTGGGCAAGTTCTACAAAATCCCTGTTCTGAAAAGCCTCTGGTGATTGCAGGTATTTCCTTTTACAGATGGAATCAAAAGTGAATGGAAACAATTGCTGACTGCTTCTGTGCCTGGATTAAGGAAATTGGCAGAGCATCATGTGTCTGCAGAGAGAACAAATGAGCGCATCCTTTAGTATTCAATATGCGGAATGAAGCAATCCACATTTAATTTTTATCTAAAGCTGAGATGAGCCTGAAGTGTGCTCTAGAAATTACCATTTCAATGGAGACTTACTGAAGATGCTGAAGAGTTTGGGAGCATCACAAAACCCATCCCACAGCCATGCTCAGAGGTCAGGTGGAAAGTACAGCTTGAAGGACGTTCAAAGGATGTGCTGCTTCTATCACAAGGGACAGTTCCACAATACACATCATAATTTGTTCAAGGACAAATCTTACAGGCACTGCAAGGGCTGGGGCACAAGCAGAAAACGTGCAAGTGAGCAAATCAAACCAGTTCAGAAAGTCAGTGCTGGTTAACTCCATGTTCCTCACACATATTCCTGCACACAGCAATGTGCCAGGACTGTAGGAAGGCATAATGTCCATGTAATTGTCTCCTTTGGTTGACAAGAAACAAAAGTATTACTTGGAATCCTTTAAAGTGACAAGAATAACATCTAAAATGAGACATGATTCACTGGGCTGGCAATTTGCTGGTGGGATCATCAAAGATCTCTTAGCAAGAAGGTGTTACAGAGAATCTGTGAATGCCTGAGTAATCTTTGTTCTCCTGAACATTATCATAATATAAGTAACACGACAGCAGACGGTGTGTATACAGCCTCTGTGATCTCAAGCACATCTCTTACACAGCCTAAGACAGCCACAATGTAGCTGGAATGAAAAAAACATCTTATACTTGCTTATATTAAAGGAAAATAATCTGTGAAAACTCCAGCCAAAAGGAAAAGTTAGCTCGGACAAGACAGCTGGTGACAGACATGAAAACAGAGAGGACTGTATGTATCTAGGGTGATTTCAAGGTCACAGTTAGCTCAATATCACAGGTAGATCAACAGCTATTACCCAGCAGAGAGGCTCTATCTGCCTCAGGAGTCATCCCAAGCAGTTCCCCAAGTCTATCTGCAAACGGAGGGTGAGGAACATGGCACGAACTATTTCAAGATTAAACAAAGCACATCTTATTTTAAGTGAAAGTACCATATGCAACAACTATTTGGTGGTGAGTCACGGATCAGATGGGAGAGAGTCATGGATCAGATGGGAGAGAGCATTCCTGAGATGCTGGCACTCACACAGTGCAGGCAGTACTTGTGGAGCTAAAGACAGGGAGCATCACAAGAGCTTCCAAAAGTACTAGAGAAGCTCAGGCTACACCAGCTGACCCAGAACTGCTCTCAAGTTCAGCTAACACACCAGCAGTCCTTACACTCACAAAGTCTAGCTCTGAAAGCAGAGTGAAAAAGCAAAAGGAAATGTCTCACAAATTTAACAGTATTAACAGTATTAACTCTGTTCTGCTGGGAAAAACAATTTATATAAATTACAAGGAAAATTGGAGGGGAAAAAAATTTGAAAATGGCTTTAAGATCTTTTTGCTGCACATTCCACAAATACATTGGTTCCTGGAAATGGTGAGTCACTGCTTTGAACAGCAACCCCTGTCTGACCTGGCAGGCCCAGGCAGAGACAGCACTGGATCAAACCCGGCACCATGGATGGGGAGGGAGCTGCTTTCATCAGAACAGGTCTTAGAGCACCTTGATGCCTGTAACTCTCACTTGTGATGCTTCCTCATGGGAAGTGGGTCTAACAATAGAATCACAGAATCACAGAATGGCCTGGGCTGGAAGGGACCTTAAAGACCTTAAAGAAAGACCTTAAAGACCTGTTCTGCCCCCTGCCATGGGCAGGGACAACTTCCCCCTAGACCAGGTTGCTCCAAGCCCTGTCCAACCTGGCCTGGAACTCTGCCAAGGATGGGGCAGCCACAAGGATGGAAAATCAGCCTAGAAGACCTCTTGCCTTTGCTTCTGGATCTCTCAGCTCTGAAGAAGAGAATGATGTTCAGACTGAGAAACTCCACATTTAGTCTGGGGTGTCAGACAGTGTCAAGGCTCTGTCTGAGAAGTGATTGACTCCAGACACAGATTATTTAACTGTTAGTTCCAGACCAAGGAGCATCAGCAATGCAGATTGCTTGTCATGCCTGTGACTGTGGGTGTCAAGGAAGGATGTGGAGGTGGAATCACAGTCCCTACACTGCAGAGACCAAGCCCAGCCTGTTGCAAATGGTGGCACCTAAACCAAACAGAACCCAACCTAAGTGGTTCTCTTTGCAGAAAAGGGCTAAGATTGTTGTGCACAGGAGAAAGAAACCCCCCAAAGCTAGTGTCCAGGTTAGTTTGATGAAAATCAGCCAAGCCTACACTGCAGTAGGTAATGTGTGTCATCAGGTGGGCTATTCCCCATAGCCAAGGTCGTATGAATATCCCACAACTATTCAAAAGCTATTAGGGAAGAACTGTGTCAAGTAACCAGGGACAAATACACTACTAGAAGGAGTGATTAATCAGTGTCAAGACAGTCACTATCTGTGGCAGCTACTCCATATGGACTATGTCAGGTCATTAGGAGCCCTACATTTGACTGAAGTCAACATTTAATCTGAATGGCTGGAAGGATTTCACACAGATGGTGGAGGCATCCAGCCTCGCTTGCCAAGCACTCGTGGACAGGCAGCAAGTGACAGTGGAGCTCCCTGGACCCCTGGAGAGAGACAGGCTGGCACCAAACAGCCCAGCAGGGCCCTGTCCTTCTGCCTGGGATGAACCATGGTCACCCCTTGGCTGGCCAGGGCAGGGATCCGCTGTCACCATCGATGTGAGGATGTCTGAAGTGCCTTGGCATGGAACACACTGTGCTTAGAGGGATCATAATTGCCTTCCACAGCCCTGAGAAAGGTGGATTTGCCACCTCAGACTGATGCTGGCTTTTCTACTGAAGCAGCAATAGGACTTATTTTCTTTTTCTTTCCTCCTCTGTTACATCCTTATTATGGTGTCTCATAGCCTACTCTACATATGTTTTGTCTTATCCTACTTATTTACCTCCTTTCCCCAGTTCTCTTGGTAATAATGAGTCTGCTGTGGGGCAAGGATTTATTCAGACTATCCAACATGAAAGGTGTGTAGGGCATGGAGGACTGCAGAGCTCAGACTTTTTAAACTGGACACAGGAAAGGTTGATTTGGGGATTCTGTGCCACCACCGTGGTTAAATATTGGGCTCCTACAGCACTGCTCTGACCCTCTGGGAAAGTTTGAACCAAGAAGTTTGAACCATTCTAATGAATCGTGGTGACCTGGAGAGATTACAGATCTGTTTTGAGGGAAAACCAGACAGCTCTTACACATAAGAGCAAAAAGCTGTGCAGCAGACCTGCTTGCTGCAAGAACTGGGAGCACTGCCACAGGCGGGGACCAGTCCTGAGCCTCATGTTTATGGTTTCACTACCATGACTTGACATTACATGACAGGAAAATGTTGCAATGGCTGTGGCAGAAAGTGCAGACACAGCTCCTGGAAGCTGTGGCAAAGCTCTTGTGTGCACGTTACCTAGAGAGAAAATGCAAACCCTCTCCTGGGG